AAATTGCCAGTCTAATTAATAACTTAAGAAGCTGTATTCAAACCTTCATACAAAATAAACACCTTACTACCTAACCTTAAACAGCCTCTGGTGAAAGAAGAAAACAAAGGCATACAGAGTATTCTATGCCCATTTGGTAAGAAACATAGAGGACAAACTTCACATTCATTGGAAATAAGACAAGAAACATCAAGGTCACATTCGTAGAGGTGAGTTTCAGATATCTGCTTTAATGTGTCATCAATTTAAATCAGGTCACAAAATATTTTGAGACAAACCTTGTCTCCTATACTAACCTAAAACTAAAAAAAGAAAGACTGTTTAGAAACAAAAGAAATCATCAAAGCAAGTGATCTTTCACTAAACCATGACAATAGCCCTAGCAACATCACCCAAATTTAGCTGAGTTTATCTATCTAGCTTTTGCTCACACACACACAACCAGCCTTGAACTTATCTTTTGCTATAATACTATCACTACCTGACAACATTCGTTAATATTAAACACTTGCATCTGTTTTCTTTATACTTGTATATAAATCCTGTATTCTCAGCTATAAATCAAATCTGAAGAAGACAAACCAATGTTCTTTGAAACATGTAGCATGTTCCCCAAAATAAAATAACTGAATTATGCTTACAAGTCATTGTCTGTCAGTTCACTATTATATTAACATAAGTTGATTCCATACACAAGCATCACAAAGCTACCAAGGATTGTAATGATTTTAATACGAGACCCAAAACTTGAGGTCTTTATTGGGAGTGTCTCATTTAAAAACCATTACAGCTTCTGTACATGATCCAGTGTGCTAATTTCTTAATCAGAAAGTTACTAAGGATATTGGTAACTGTCCATAATTTTGAACTAATGACCAAAGGAAAGGAAACCAGCCAGCAGCACCCATTGCTAACTCTTGGGCTACTCTTTTACCAATGAATAGTGGGACTGACTGTCACAATATAACACCCCAAGCTGATAGAGCAAGTATGTTCGCCATCAGATTTCAATCCCATGACCCATAGATTGTGAAAGTATGCTCACAATCATGACCCACAGATTGTGAAATAAGCACTCAAACTACTAAGGTATAACAGTCCAACTACTTAAGTAAGTTGTCTCTGTGACTCTTCAACATTATTGTGATATCTAATATTATTCAAATCACAATTATAATATTTATTTTTGATGGTAAATTTTGTCTGTTAATGGTTAATTTGAACTCTTGATGTTCTTCTCTCTTTTGGACTGTATAAACATACACTTGAGTATACGAGTGTGTTTTGATTTAATAAATGCTTTTGAGTATAAATAAAAGAAAAACTTTTTACATTTATTCAAGTGAAACATTTAGTTCAATATTATGAACTTACATCATAAAACATCCTCCTATCAGCTGCTAATCTCTTTGATGACAAAGCTTTCACAACATGATACAGTGTCAGTAAAGCTCGTTCTTGATATAACTCATCTTTATTTCTTACTGCTTCAAGCACCCTTGGTAAAAGTTCCTGCCATTCCTTTGGACAATCAAACCTCGCAATTTTAGCAATCAGAACCGCTAGCTGCACAGCTAACTGTAAAAAAAATAACAAATCTCTTGCAGAACATTACATGGCAAATTTTATACACAGTTCAGTTGTCCCATAATATTTGTTTAGAATACAATTAAATTTGTTTCTTTGTTTTTCTAATAGAAATGTAAGAAGTTCAAATTGTCTACAATTAAAATACAAGTTTAAATATTAGAATAACAACAACAAAAAATAGCTTAAAGAATCAACTTTTCCTAAGACTCTTAAGGTTAGCCAGAATATTTCAATAAGATACTTTGATATAATTTTTTTTTTCTCTTAAATTAAATGTGTTAGTTATTTAATAAACTAACAATTTACAACTGCAAAAACAAGTAATTACTTTTAAGTGTGTATTTCATCAAATAAAGTAATAGAATATGTAGCAAGTTTGGTTCATGATGATCAAAAAGTTCCTCATCATCATTTCCTGCTAGAGAACTAACTTATTCCAAACTAAGTAAGACATTTTCTACCTATGAAAATATAACTGAATAAAAAATAGTTCAAAAATTGAAATACAATAAATAGAAAGTTTCAATTTGAAAATAATAGCATACAAGTACATACTGAATATTTTGATACAAAATAATTTTATAAATACTTTAAAATCAACCGAGATGGCTTTTAGCTGTACCCTGTAGAACATAGACATGTTTTTTTAAGTAACTGTTCCCCAACAACAAAATTTCAATAAATCTAAAACAATAAATGTGAAGTCTGATCTAAATTTCATGAATCATTGTCACTAAGTGTACTGGAATCAGGGAATTTCATCCCTCATCAGTAACCCTGGACAAAATAAATCTAAAAATAAGTTTAGGCTTCATATAGTGGTGGAGTACCTATCATATGTATGGTATAACTCAGTGATAAGTGGTAAATTGAATGATAGATTGGGCTTGACGCCTATGTTAATATTTTAAATTGGTTGTTGGCTAAACAATTTACAAGAATAAATTAGTAACTTCAATGCTACAAGTACTTGATATTCCTACATAAATATAAGACCACTGTGTTAGAAAAGGACATTTCAAAACACTATACATAAATGTGTTTATACTCATTGACACTGATTATACCAAATACTGGTCTTTTTTTATTGGTTCCATCCAAGTGCTCGGTTAATATTTTGACAATACATTATTAATTGATTTTATAATAAAGGAATATAACTTTCATTATTTATTCAATCCAGAATTGTTTCCAACAGCAGAAATGAAACTACACCCCCTCCCCTTCCAGCAAACATTCTCTTCTTCTTTTACTCATATCAATTATGCACAGCACCATGGCACAAGTGCCTGCAACTGGGTAATAAGTGGTCATATCAATGCAGAATTGAGGTTAAAGGAATCTACATTATATTACAATGGCAGTGAGTGTTGGATTCCACATCAGAAAATACCACACTAATTAATAAAATATTCAATAATATTCATAAAAATTAATGATTACACAGGAGTGTTTAATTAATACTAAACTGTTACAAGTAATCAATCAATAAATGATAATTGGCTGGTTATGCTTAACCAACCATCAAATATGATTTTATTATCAATTCCTACCACTACTAAATATAAAGCATGGTTCACTTGGTAACTGAAGGTCTATAGTAGTGTAGCAGCAGCCCAACATCTTGTTCAACTTATGTTTCAGAATGCCTAATCTTTGTTGGATTTCACAGTACAACAAAAGAACAAGAGATTCAACAATAACATGGCTCTTATGCATCAATCCTCTTTTTGTACATATCTTGCAAAACTATTAGCATGAAAATTCATGTATGTATACTTTTATATATTTATTCACCACAATTGGGAAAAAAAAAAGTACTAAAGGTGAAGAAAAAAAGGATTATTAACACGTCCCTCAGGAGCCAAGGGGTGCCTTTACACTACAATTTGTTTAATATTAAAGCAAGTTCAATCTGGAAACTCCCAAAGAGGGTGGTTTTAGATGTATCTTTTTGAGACAACTTAGAGACAAGTTTTTCGTTTGTCAATTGATAACTTTTTAATTGAAATACAGCATCCTCAAGTCTCCATACTACCTAGTACTAAGGTCTACCCACTGGAAGTAAATCCAGTATATATATTAATAAATCCATATTTTCAGCATCATTAATTAAGCAAATGCCAACCTTTTATGCTTCTGCTATCACCTTTTTATGTGTTTAGCTTTCAATTGAGATACAAATGATTTCACCTGCGAATCGGTAGGGAAGGTCGAAGCATCACAATAGTCAGCTGTAGAATGAGCAGACAGGAACACTTTGAAAGCAGCTACAGGCATAATGTTGTACTTGGCTTGTTGAACAACATCTACCAAGGAGGTTTAAATGGTTCCTGAATACCTCTGGGTGTCATTTGATGGATTTCATGCACCTTACCACTTCAAATCACTTTTCGCAGCCCCAATGCTAGAAGAGTGCGGGAGATGCCTTCTTTTTTATCCAATAAAAATGTCCAAATAATTTCAGTTCAAATTAAGAAAAACCAGATTGGTTAGTTTTTTTTTTCAACAAAAATGTCCCCCACTGGCTCTTGAGGGGCCTGTTAATAATAAATCTACAAATGAAAATTTTTAATCATAAATACATAACCAATAGCCATCAAGGAGCTATAAATAATTTATAACACTAAATAAACTAAAAACATGAACTAGAAAGCAAAAGGAAGTTAGCAATTTGAAAAAAATAAAAATATCTGATAAAGAAAATAGCATGAAGATGTAAACAGATAGTGTGTTTTGTTGTCATGTTAATTATCAGCTTATGAACAACACAAACCTGGTGAACTGGTTCACTAAAGTTAGACAACAAGTTTTGTCTTAGCACTGTCTTTTCCTCTTCTGATATAGCACTAAAGAAAAGAAAATATTATTAAGACTGCATTACCAAATCTTAATAAAATCTTGAGATTAGTTTCAGCAACAGGCTTTATATGTCATTTGATACAAAACTAATGTAAACTAAACAGTTAATAATTTTAATTGAAATTTACCAGAACAAAGTAAGAAGCACATCAACACCATTAACAAATTAAACACATTCAACTGAATCATACTTATGTATAAAGTACCAGTAAATAAAAACGTCACATTCCATCTCCTCTATCTACACTCATTTACAATTAAGTTCATATTACTTACTTGGGTGCATTTCTTCTCCAGTATCTGTCAACACCATTTTTGAAGTATAACACAGCCAGCCAACGTACATTCACTTCAATTTCATAGTTTGAAAAAATTGCCTAAATAAGAGATTTTAAAGTATCAAATCAGATAAAGATGAGAGAAACTGCACAAACATATTTTGGTGAGGTGAGTGAAAACAATGTGGAAAACTTAATTATGCATTTAAAAATATAAACAAAAAAAGGTTGTATAAACATGTAGATACATACATAGACATAAAAGTAACTTTTAGAAATTACTTTTGCAGATTTAAGTAAATTTTCTGAAACCAACAACACTGTGAAACTGAACCTTACATAACATTCACCCAAGTAAAACCTATAAATCAGAACACAAAATGCACACATTACAACTTACATAAAAGATATTTTCTGGTATAATATACTTGTTCCTCAGTTACATGATTTGGTTGCAGTGATACTTTTATGAGTAATGAATACTAAATGTTCAAATTATTAACATTTCATGATAAAAGTCACTGGTAATAAACATACTCATTAATTACAATTCATGAAAAATTAAAAATAAAAGGAGTTGTCAAATATGTGCCTTACATACTGTTCAATGATACTACGATTCAAACTTCAGCAAAGACTTGTATCTTTACATAGTTAATGCTGCTTCTTCATAATATCAAAACAAAACAGTTCTTCCATAGTTATGTAAGGAAGCATATTATACTAATATAATAGTAAATTGACTGGTTTATAAGCATAATGAACATTTTTTTAGGGAACATACTACACGTTTTAACATATATAGTTGTTTGCCAACTTACTACAGTTCTAGCAGGTAATTTCTAGTTCACACAGTTAAGAATAAACTTTTTGCATGATTACTTCTAACAGACCTTAAAGGATACTATTTCTCTACAATGAGGATTACTCATTGTTATAAGGTGCTATATGTTTGTCCAATAGAAAGCATTGATATATGCACAAGAATTTTCTGAAAGAATAATGATAGCATAGAAGAAGTCATACAAAATGTTACAAAAAATTTTACAAAAAGTGGATTTCTAGATAAGTGTGATATGTCCAGATAAACTCAGTGAACCATGAATACAATGTACAAGTAATTAACGAGTTAGGCTACTATTTTAGTGTTTAGATATTAGTTACACCTTAATTTAGGTTAAAAATGAAATGATAAAAGACTGTTATTTTCATTTAATTTACTTACAAATAAACACAAGTTTATTGAAGATAGGCAGTTATAAGCATGATATTTCAAGATAAATAACCTGTTATATACCCTGAAAGAAGTGGATTTAAACACACTGTTGAAGTATAAAAGAAATGTAAGATTCTACGATTTCTTTTTAACACATACTATTTAAATATGTGCAATAAATTTATTAATCTATTATATAAAGTTAAGTGTATCCAGGAAAAAAAATACATGGTTGTATGTCTATCATTTCATATCTGTTACTTATACATTTCTACATTTCTTGATCAATCAGCACCATACATGACACAGTGATACAGGATGACATGATGAAGGCCATGGGAGGTTTGGACCTACCTATCTATTTGATATTGTTAGAATTCTTAAAAACAGTATGTCTTTCTTTTCAGTATTAGTACCTTTACGTATTTTTATTGCAATTTTAATATTTATTATGTTAAGAAAAAAAACAGAAGCACAATTTCCTATCCTTTGTTACAAACAAGTTTTTATTTCACCAATCCAATGGATGAGTATTCCAGACAGTACGCTATAAATTCCCTAAAAACAATTCAGATGAAAGCTTAGTACACAACAATATCATCATAATAAATCAATTTTGTGAAAAGCTAAAGCCTTTACAGATACTAAAAAACAAAAAATAAACACAGAATATACTATTTATTACCACAACGTGATCAGGGTTACGTTTGGAGATGATGATTGATACTAAGCACAAAAAGGTTAATTATAAAAAATGTGAGGCTAATGTCTTAGGGCATCTTGTATAAGAATTCCTAAAAAAAGGTTGCATTTATTTAAATGCGACTCTAGACAAATGTATAAAACATACCACCCAGTGTATAAATGTTGGGAAGTTAATATTTTCCTCACCTGACAATGTATTAATGATAGAGACTCATCTATTCACTCAGAGTAGTGTTACGTATCTGCTTCTTTGTTAATTTCCGATATAAATTCTTTCCGAGGAACTTCAGCGATACAAGTCCTTTCTTAATTAAAACTGGTTTATTCTTTCTTGATACAACTTTTTGTAATACATAGAATTTCCACAGTC